GCAGCCAGAGCCCACGTCACGGCCAAGGTGCCACGTCCAACCTCAAAATGTGTGCCTATGCCAGGTCAGGATAGCAGCCAGAGAGCAGCAGGAGCCATGTCAGGATAGCACCCCAGAGCTAGGGGCAGCACCCAATCCCTGGTAGCTGCTGTCGTTTTTTTATAGTTTTTTTTTGGTTCCGAAAGTGACGTTGGGACTGGCCGCACCCCAAACCCTGCGCCACCACCAAAACCCTGCGCCACGTCAGGATAGCTGCCAGAGCCCACGTCACGGCCAAGGTGCCACGTCCCAACCTCAAACCCTGCCGCTCCCTGTTTCCAGTTCCCTGCTTCCACTTCCCTGCCTCCAGGTCCCTGGAGCCAGTTCCCTGCGCCCAGTTTCCTTCGCCCAGTTCACTGCTCAGCTGCCCCGTTTCCTCCGTCCGGTTCCGGAACCGGAAGCAGGGAACTGGAGGCAGGGAACTGGAGACTGGGAAATGGGAAACCGGGGACAGGGAAAGTGGGCAGGAGAGTGGGGGGCAGGGGTCTGGCTGAAGGGAACTGGAGGCAGGGAACTGGACGCAGGGAACAGGCTCCAGGGAACTGGAGGCAGGGACCCGGAAGGAGGGAACTGGAGGCAGGCAACTGGAAGCAGGGAACTGGAGGCAGGGAACTGGAAGCGTGGACGCAGGGAAGTGGGACCAGGGAATTGGAGGCAGGGAATTGGAAGCAGGGAACTGGAGGCAGGGAACTGGATACTGGGAAATGGGAAACCTGGGACGCGGAAACCTGCCTGCAATTCCCTCGTCCCAGTTCCCTGCGTCCACACTGCCTCCAGTTCCCTGCTTCCAGTTCCCTGCCTCCAGTTCCCTCCTTCCGGGTCCCTGCCTCCAGTTCCCTGGAGCCGGTTCCCTGCGTCCAGTTCCCTGCCTCCAGTTCCCTTCAGCCAGTCGCCTGCCCCAGTTCCCTTTGCCCACTCCCCTGCCCACTTTCCCTGTCCCCGCTTTCCCATTCCCCAGTCTCCAGTTCCCTGCCTCCAGTTCCCTGCTTCCGATTCCCTGCCTCCAATTCCCTGGTCCCAGTTCCCTGCGTCCACACTTCCAGTTCCCTGCCTCCAGTTCCCTGCTTCCAGTTCCCTGCCTCAAGGTCCCTGGAGCCAGTTCCCTACGTCCAGTATCCTCTGCCCAGTTCACTGCTCAGGTGCCCTGTTTCGCATTTCCCCTGTCGCCAGTTCCATCCCCTGCTTCGCCACAGCGACCGAAACAGACGCTGGGCCCTATCCCCTGCTCCTCCCCTTCTCCTCCTCCCGCTCGCGCCTCTCCACATCCCTCCCCCTCTCTGCCCTGCCTCCCCTTCACCACAACGACCACCCCTGCTCCCGTCCCAGCCTCCTCCACTCCTAGACACAGCGACCGAACCACGCGCCGAGCCCCCCCGTGCTTTCCGCCTCAACCTACCCGGCTTCGCCCCGGCCCTGTCCCTCCTCCTCCCCTTCGTCTCCACCCGCTCGCATCCCTGCACCTTCCCGGGGTCGGCGGCACGGGGGCGTAGCCCTTAAATCCGGGCGCCGGCCACGGGCCCGTGTCCTTGCCGGAGGCCTTCGGTGGTAACCGAAGGTTATATACGCTCGCCGCCCCTGCCGCCGACCCTTTTGGTCGACCTCCGCCCGACCCCCGCCCGAAGCGTGTCGACAGATTTTTGACGGATTTTTATGTTATTTATATTTTATCTACCAGCATGATTGCGCGTGATGTGGAAAACATCGTTTTTTACAGTGTTTCGTGGCCTTCGGCGGACATGACTTGCGTCTAACAGGGCACCGGTGGTGTCGGTTATGCGTGCCGCGCGGACAGGCTTAATCGACATTTCGTGGGTGTTGGGCACAGAAGTTGCCTAACATTTCCCCAACATAGGCCCAAGATAGCCAACATATGCCCAACATACCCTCGAAGATGGCTCAACATAGGGCCAACATAGGCCAGCATGGGGCCAACGTACGCCAACATAGGCCCAACATAGGCCCAACCTAGGCCAACACGGGCCTAACATAGGCCGACCTAGGCCCAACATAGGCTCAACTTGGGCCCAAGATGACCTAACATAGACCACATGGGCTCAACTTGGCCCAACCTAGGGCCAAGATGCGCACCAGATAGCTCCACCAAGTCTCGAAGAGAGAGAGAGAGAGAGAGAGAGACAGAGACAGTGAAGACAGAGACAGCGAAGACAGAGACAGAGAATACCGAGACAGAAACAGAGAAGACAGAGACAGAGACAGACAGAGACAGACAGAGACAGCGAAGACAGAGACAGAGAGTACCGAGACAGAAACAGAGAAGACAGAGACAGAGAAGACAGAGACAGACATAGAGACAGAGAAGACAGAGACAGATACCGACAAAGACCGAGGCAGAGACAGACATAGAGACCGACAGAGACCGAGACAGAGACAGACAGAGAGAGGGGAGGGAGAGAGCAGAGAGGGAGAGAGCAGAGAGAGAGAGAGAGAGAGAGGTCGCAGGAAATGTGCAAGACGGCTCTCCCGACTTCGGCGTAGACGAGGTATATGACTCGACCGCGGTCGTTCTGCACCTTCGGGAAGCTATGCTTACACTTATTGGGAGCATTTTTCTTGCGGCAAGCACTGATCGGTAACCGACACTTTTGCACAATGCTATAAGGATGCCAATGTATCTGCTGATGGCTCACTTTGCTTTGTGCGACACGGCGGTAGGTCTCGATGAATGTTTGGGCTTCTTGCACTGCTCGGGTAGCCGCCATGTCATCCAACCAAGGGCTCTTTGCGTCATCTGTTTGGATGAAGTTTGGCCAATGGCAAAGAAAATCTTGCTTTTCGTGGCTGTTGTGCTCGTTCCAGGCGGCTTCTAGTTCTGCTTGCTGTGCATTGTGGAAATTGTAGTCAGGATGAGTTTCTGGATGTATCCATGTGAGAAAGTGTTTCACGTCGTCGAACTCGATAGTTCGGTTGTTCAATTTCTCCGCCAGTTCGTGGAGCGGTTGCTGCCAAATGGATGCACTGTAGACGTTGCAGTGAAAGTGCGGAGTCGAATTTGTTTGATATTCGATGGCGCCACAGAGGCCGCGCACGAGGCCGAACAACCCCCCGGTGACATGGCAGCCGTTCCCGCTGGCATCCCGGCAGTCACAGGCGGGACAACGAAAGCACATGCGAATGCCGAGCAGCTTTGCGAAAATGCAACGAACAATGGTTTGGAAGCTGAGAACTACGGCCCACGGGTCTCTGGCTGTCAGTTGCCGTCTGGTATCATAGGGGGGGACGAACATGGTTGCATTGGCGGATTCCCATATTTCTGGGCAGGTCCGCTTTCCGAAGACCGTGCTGCCTGGGTCGGCTTGTCGGTATCGAGAGAATTTGATGTACAGCGCATTGTGGTGTGAGGTGGGTGAAATTGTGATGAAAAGAGGTTCTCCCAGCTCTACTCTGGCTCCAAAGAGAAATCGACCGATGCGACGGCGAGATTCTATGGTTCCGGGCATATTTCTCTGCATGCTGCGAACGTCTTGCAAAAGGTGGTGCTCTTCTGACGTCAAGCCTTTGGCGTAGGGCAACTTTCTAGTATCAAAGTGTATGGGTTTGTATTGACCACTAGCGGTTAAGTACGTACCACTGCGCAACTTGCTATAGAGCCCTTTTGCCGCTTCCACCCACGAAGCGGTAGGGGTTGCTTGAACGCAGTCTCTTTGGCTTGGTCTTTTTCGCCAGAGAATGCCATTGCAGACTGATTGCCATTTGAACGTCAGCCGTCGCAAACCAGGTACGAAGTCCCAGGAGTTACGAATAGAGCTCTCAACACGGCCGGCCAACAACTTCAAGTGCGCCAGAGGATGTAAGTTTGGCGCATGTACTGGGCGTCGAGGTCTGGTTTTGTGGGGAAAATCTGGGCCACTGACAGGTGCTGGAAGGCTGAATGGGAATGCCCATGGTAGAAAATCGTTTTGCCATTGATCCCAAAAAGTATGCCCGGTTTCGACCGTGACTTGATCGGCAGCGTGTGCAAGTTCTTGTAACCTTTCTAGATCTGGCTCCCTCCAGTCGGAAGTTGCGTAGTCTTGGGATAGGACGTTTGGTCGATGCACTCCCGTGAAAGCTTGGCCATCCAGCGCTGCGGCCGCCGCCGTTTCTGGCGTCGCATGCTTCTGCGGCGGCGCATCTCGGCTGGTTGGCGAGTGCATGCTTGCGGACAAGGTTTTTGCAGTGCCTACCGCTGCAACGGACACGACCGGTGGGACGTATTTTTCGACGGTTGTCGTCCGAGTTTGACTGTTCGTTTTCTCTGACCCCTCGACCTCGACGACGGCAATGCACGGGGTGTCGTCGGCTGCGACAACAATCGACGCGCCCCGAGCGATGCTCTGGGCGTTGTCGGAGGCCACAACTGAGAGCTTGGTTGGTGTGCTGGAGACTGGGGTGCGTGCAAGGTCGCCACTTGCAGTGTCTACGGCTACCTTTGACAGCTTTGCGTCGGGACGCGCCGCTGCAACGGGCTTTGAAGCTTGGCCACTGTGCCGCGCACTTGCTGGTGGGCTTTGCTTTGGCGCTGCCGGACGCGAGCGCGAAGACTGGGTGGGTCGCGCTTTCGGACTTGCTTGGGCCGACGAGAGTGGCGCGGCCACAGGCACGTCTTCGGGAATGGCTTCCCCGAGCGGCATTGTCTCTTCCGTGCCATATATCTGTGTGACACGTTGTTTCACTTCTTCTTTTGCTTTCTCCGGGGAGATGTGATTGTCACACATTGGATGCTGCAAGTCGATCAAATGCTGCAACAATGCAACGACCACCCAGGGTCGGATCCGTGCGCCGGCCACCCACTCTATCGCCTCATTGTGAAGCATGCCTTTCACAGTAATCTTGACGAATTGTTGCATGACTTTGGGCTCGTGCGGCAACTTTGTCCACGGCATGCGAGTGTTTGCTTCTGGAGCGAACGCTGCCAAGACTTCTTCCCAAGGTAAGCTAAACGAAGAAACATTACCTCGAACGGCAGTTCGATGCTCCGCGCGGTGGAGGGTTTCTTCCACCAGGTGCCCTCTGTCTGCTTCGACATAGTAAGTGACGACGGACGTCCACAGTGGGCTAGCGGCGGCTGCTTCTATCCACCGCACTTTGTGTTTGTATAACAACTCTGTGGGGTAGCCGTACCAGTTGTCATTGGCTAGAGCTTGTGGAACTGCAAGAACACGTTGGTCGAACATCTGCACCAGGCATTGGTGACAGATAGGAAGCTCACATGTTTCGCAAAGCTGCCCATTACCTACATCACAAGCTGTGCAGCGCAAGTCTTCTGGGCAACACACAATCTTTTGGCCATTGTGTAGAGAGGCAGGCAAAAGGCGTGACCATTCATGTGCGTCAAAGCGGTCACGGACGCAAGCACTGGCGGCGTACTGCTTCATATATGTATCCAAATTCCAGTTGCAGGTGAAGCTTTCTAGAGACAGGGAGCCGAACAACTCCGCGGCGGACAAATAGGCAATGTCCCCAGCATCACCTCCGGCATGGATGCCTGCACAACATGCACATATCAAGGCTTCGCACGACGTCTCCTGCAATTCTTTCTGCAGTCGTCGCAGGGTTCGACGATCCACACTCCAACCGACCTGTGGCACTTGTTGATCTTCTTTCTGCAACAAGGCATTCACGTATTGGCTGGGAATTGCGAGCTCGGCCGAGCCTCCGGCTGCGCGATGCGCTGCCTCTTCGAAGACTGTGTGATGGTTTTCTTTCAGGTGCGCCCACAAGCACGTGGCAGCATTGCCGCAGCAGGCTCTGGCTGAGTATGACCAAGCAGTGCCTTCTATGCGCCACACCTTTTCTTTTGACCAGTGGGGATGACATGGTTGCGCATCAGAAGCACACTGGCAGCCGTCGAATGCACAATGCACTGCGGGATACACTAATCCAGAGTTTGAACCTAATGTTTGCAAGTCTTTGTCACTCAGCACACATGGCAACAAAGGGTGCAACCGGAAGTGCGTAGCCAAGTGCTTGGCGCTGTCTATTGCGCGGTCCTCTATCGTCACCCAGCTTTTATGTGGTTCGACGACCGCTTCTAAGTCTGCGTCATTGGACCTTTCACTAGTTTCGGAGTCCCACGACAGCACGCTGTCCAAGTCCACGTCTGTGGCCGTTCCTTCGGATTCTTCCACTGCGGTGGACTGTGGCCAGACATCGTCTGCCCCCGTCTGCATGGTGGATCTTGTATCTGTGATTAGCTGTGCGTCAGTGGCTGCGGCTGCTGTCGCTGGATGCGGGGCCACATTGTCTTCCTGTTCGATGGCTCCGTCACAGCTCACAAACTCCTCGTGCTTGCAGGAGCTATGTTCCGCACAACTTGGCTGCAAGTGCTGCGCGATGCGCACGCCGGTCCGGCGACGTCGCGCTGGTCGGGCAGAGCCCTGGCACACGCCGTGTGTGGTAGGCCTGTCGATCTCACCGTCGAGCTCCGCCGTGCTTCCTCTGCGTGAGCGATGCTCTTGCGGCGAACTTTGCGGCGGCTCGCACGGCGGCGGCAAGGGTGGCAGAGGCGTCTCTAGAGTGTCCGCTGCCCGCTGCAAGACGGCGTCAGCTCCGGCACGTTTCCACTCCAGTGTCCAGGCGGTGTCCGGAAACGGCGGCCGCAGCGACGCAGATCTGTCCACTATGTCGTAATGGCCGGTGACGCCGATTTGGCGGTGCAGAAGTTCTAACACTTGTGGATGTTCTTGTAGTCTTGCATGGGCTTCTTGGTCGCTAACAATTGCTTGGTCTCGCACCCACAGGTTCTGGTCCACGTCCTGACTCCAAATCAAGCAGTCAAAATCAAATGTCTCTGCGAGCGCCCACAGTTCGACGAAAGACCCATGGTGGATGGAGTCCAAGGCACGCGGTTTCTGTAGCACTGCAATTAGTTTACTCAAAAGCACAATCTCCGAATTCGTGAGATCTGCTGTTCTCAGGTTGGATTTGTGCGCACGCAGAAGATACTGCTTATGCAATTCCAGTTCTCGATCATCAAAGGGCACGCACGCAAGCTGAACTTCTTCTGCCTTTGGACCATATTTCTGATTGCACAACCACTCCAACGCCTGCAGGTATAATTCCGCAGCTTGCGTTATCGACCACGTTTTCCAATTGCTGCAGTGCCGACTTACGGCGTGAAAGAAGCACCATCCGTCACCGGGCACTTTGGTAACGTCGCATCCGATCCGAGCTTGTGCCAGCAAATCCAAGTCAATGACTTCTTCTGCGGACTGGTTGTGCGCCGGGTTGTGTTCTGACGTCGACAAAGCACACTGTGTAACATTAGCTTCATTTTCATTTTTCTGCTTCTTCCAAGGTGTTGGGATCGAAGTCTGAGGTTTCGTGCTTGGGTAAGTGCTTGAGCAAGCTGCATTATCCACACCTTTCTTTTCTGTCGTCCTCCTTTTTGCTGGGTGCATCGTATTCCCATGCAGTGCCCGCATCAATTGATTGCGGAGCTTGCGAGCGACGCACCACATGTTGTTGGCTTTAGAAGTGTCGTTGTAGCCTACGGTATGAACACAGTGTATGGTGCCGGGACTCAAAACCACCAACACCGCCAACAACACTTGCATCCTATGCAGGGGCTGTGTCTGCCGCCGCCGTGCTTTCAAGCGCGTTCTGCCTGCGACACGGGCTTTCTTGATCCAACCCGTCGGACACCGACCTTTTGCCAGAGCTCGCAGTGCTTGGCACGCAAAAACACAAGTGCAGAGGTGGACTACAAACACTGGGTTTATTCGATTAGTATTAGCACTTACAAACGCAGACACTAGAGCTATGCCCCAGGTGAGCATCGTGTATCGGTCCGGAATTCTGCGGGTCCAGTGTGTGCGCTTGTTATCTGCTTGACTTGCTCTGCCGGATTTGGTGGGCCGGCCATGGCACCCGCCTCGGCAAAGGTTGCGTCTGCATCCTTCGACTAGACTGATCCTCCAAACTGTCGAGCAGCGCATGGCAAAACTTATGTCTTGTTCACCGACGAGTTTATTTGCTACCACGCACCACTTTGTCATAGCTGCACTAACAAACGCAGGCAGGAACGTCATGCTGCGGGTGAGCGCAGTGATGCTGTAGGTCGATTGTGTGTGCAGGTTGCCTGCGCGCACTGCTAGGCTGGATGTGGTGGGTCGGACATCGCAGCTTTGTCGACGACGAAGCCGTGTGGGCGAGTCGCCGAAAGCAACCGTGCAAAACATCCAGCACCACGTGGCAAAACTTGCTGCTCGTTCACGAACGAGTCGATTTGCAGCCACATACCACTTTCTCATGGTTGTCCTCTTTGGGTCCATGAGCGACAGCGACGTGAGGTTGTGACTGCTTGCGTTACTTTATTGTTTCCCTAGCTAGTCACTCTGATAACTTTGCTGCCGTGACGTCTGGATCTCAGCAACCGTGATTGCGAGCTCGGTTACTTGTCGTGGACTTACCTTCTGTGGGATGGAAAAACCTATGCGTGTCCTCCGTGTGAATGGCTGTTGTTGTGGCCTACATATACGTTCCCGCTTCGACACCGACTTATGTTGCTGTTGTTGCACCTAGCTTCTTGGTTTGGACTGAAACAGTGCAGCGACAACGAACAACGATGCGACAGTGCACACCTGCACTTGCAGGTTCGACGGTGTTTATGCTCACCCCTCACGTTTTGCTTCTCACCCTCGCTCCCTGTGTTTTTCTTTGGTTTACTTAACTGCCTGGTTTCAGTTTCAGTCAATTGTTCTCCTTCACTGTGCTTGTCCTATAAACATGTCGTCGCCACCTTCTCTGGAGCGGCGCTGCAAGCGTCCGGCTTCGCAGCTGCCGCTGGGCTTAGATCTTACGCTCAGGCGTATCAAGCCTCTTCCCCAACGCATCAGTCTCGACGCCGAGCGATGCTCTGCGTCGCCTCTCCAGCCAAACTCTCATACTACACTTACCACGAGCAACAAAAGCTGCTCTCTGCGGGGCGAACTCTTTCGCGGGAATTCTGGTACAGTCCAAACATGGCAGGGTTGCAGTCACAAGCCAGGCACGCCGCAAACGTGTCAGGCGTGCGGGCGACAATCATGTCAGGTGACCCGCAGACGCAATAAACTCGCCAGGCTGCCCTCCCTTCAAACATGCTCAACTCGCCGGCCTGTCCTCCATGCTGCGAAAGAGCGACGGCGTTCGTCGTCCAGCACCTGGCACACGGTTGGGGTGTCGGGTACGGGGTCACAGACTTTTGACACAAAACCAGCGCTGTCAGTTCTCTCCTGTCTCTCTTAAGCGAGCCATGCAGTCAGTGCAGTTCAGTCTCTCTTAAGCGAGCCACGGTGAGTCGCTCGCAGTCAGTTCTCTCCCGTCTCTCTAGCAGTCCGTTCTCTCCACTCCAGTCTGTACTAAGCGAGCCGGGCAAACGCAGATATTCGGTAGATTGTGGTTTCGGGTGAAACGATCCAACCCTACCTACAAACGTGCCTCTTGCTCCGGAGCATACTTGTTATGGGTGATACTTTTGAATGAGGCTGTCTTTTGACACAACTAAACCAATCTATCCTCGCAGGTGATGGTCCATAGCGACTCGTCGATGTTCGGACCGATCGAGTCGTCGTGCGGGGTCGAGAAAACTATCTAGCCATTATACGTCCGTTTTACTTTTCGGTATCTAGGTTAGTGATGGCTACTACTCACACTAGGAAGTTCTCGCTCAGAGCCGGAGGGAGTAAGAGAAAGAGAACGAGAGAGAAAAACAAAACGCTCTACGGCTTCACCTTCTGTGAACTCTACGGTTTTTGATTTCTCACCCTTTCCAACGACTACCGTCTACAGATGCGACCTGGTTTCGCACGCTTTTGCTTACGGACTTTCGTAGGATGTGTCCAAGAAATGTTTTCAACCCGTTTGCTGGTGGCTCTGGTTAACGGAATCTGTTCTTTCCGCTAACCTCAGTTGCAACCTTGTGTCTGCCTGTGGTTGTCTTCGACGGCTCACCCGACCTTCGGTGCACTTACTGTGCACCCGGGCGGTCAGCCCCCTTCTTGCGAAGGATGCTGCCGGGACGCCCGAAGTCCCGGCCCCCGTCGTACACGAGGGTGGGAGAGCGATGCTCCCCCACAGCCTGATAGCAGGGATAGAGGACAAATGCCGCGACGGAAAAAGAGACGGCCACAAACAGAGAGGGGAGAGGGAGAGACAGCGAGAGACAGAAAGAAAGTGAAAGACAAGGACAAAAAAAGAGAGAGAGACACAGAGAGAGATACCAGGACGAAGACAGAGACAGATACAGACAAAAAGGGAAAGGGAGAGAAAGAATCAAGAAGACAAAGCAAGAGCGACAGAGAAGAGAAAGTGCCGTGCCCTACACACACCCTCTGGATGCGGCTTTTTTGGATCTTAAGGTTGGGTTCTCTGTCTCTCTCTTTCTCTTTTTTTGAGCCTTGGTGGGGTCTATACTGACCAAAGTTTGGCCATCTGGTGCGCATCTTAGCACTAGGTTGGGCCAAGTTGGGCCCACGTGGTGTATGTTCAGCACATCTTAAACCCATGTTGAAACTATGTTACACCTATGTTAGCATATGTTGGCATATGTTCTCCTGGGGGCCTATGTTGCCGTACGTTGGCGTACGTTGGCCCCATGTTGCAAACGGGGCACCGGCCCTGCACATATCCCACCCCCAAATAGGCCGGCGCCCGGCTGTCAGGCGTAAGCCTCATAAATCCGGGCGCCGGCCAGGACGCCCGTGGCATGCCCGGAGGGCCTTCGGTGGTAACCGAAGGTTATAGACGGGCGCGCCCCCTGCCGCCGACCCACCGCCGACCCTCGTCACCAAAACGGGGGGACCACCGAGTCACTGATATCAACGTAATTTACAGGGTTTCGTGTGTGTGAGGTATAAAAACACTGTGTTTTACAGGGTTTGGGGGGCCCTCGGCGGCCGAGAATTTCATCTGGGCGATGTCAAAAAACCTAGGTTTTTTCATGGTTTTTGCTTTGCGGGAAGGAAAAAATCGCCAAAAGTTGTATCGGAAGATTTTTTTCAACATAAATCGCCTAACATATCCCCAACATAGGCCCAAGATAGCCAACAGATCCCCAACATATGCCCCACATAGCCTCCAAGATGGCTCAACATAGGGCCAACATAGGCCAACTTGGGGCCAACAGACGCCAACATAGGCCCAACATAGGCCCAAGATAGCCAACACATCCCCAACATATGCCCAACCTGTCTGCCTGTCCTCACCAGGGCTGTGGCTGGCTGGCGTGAGCGACGCACTTGTTGCCAGCTGACAGCTGCCGCCTCCCAGCGTGCATCGCGCTCCATGTGCCTCCTCTCTCTCCGACGGCTCTCCCGACTTTTGGTTGCTGCAAGCAACCAGGGCAGTCAGCCCCCGTCCCTCGGACGGGTGCTGCCGGGGTGCCCCAAACCCCGGCCCCC